GATGGTTTCAACGTTGAAAAAGATATCACATTCACCCCATTCTTGCTGAAAGGGCGATTAGAGGCGAAATTTCTACATTATTTGAAAAGCTACGTGAAGAAAAAGAGAAGGAAAAGTTTTTTAATTATTTTAGAATGACTGTTTAAAACTTTTGATGAAATGTTATCAAAGTGCAATCTGAAACACTTCCATATACCGAGAAATTGTACCACCAGTGGACCGACTTGCTGTTACTTTGAGGTAAGTAAATTTATTATTGAAATATAATAATAGAAAATAAAACAAGACATTTTATACAAAGCTTTTTATTATTTTTGTAGAAAAGTAGTTTTTACTTGTCTTCGTTGGTGTTCTGTGTAATTCCATGAACAGTATGTTTGGGTTTCGGAATTTGGTGTTAAAGAAGTGTGCACTTCGTATATCACACGTCCTTGTGAAACGGTATTTGATATTTCAGGACAAGTTTAATGTCCCTGTAATACGTTGATGGAATTTTGATGAAAAATCAAATCAGAATGTTGAGAACAATGTGAAAAATTGGGTCTACTTATTATTTCACTTCTGTACGGATTATCAATTTTTGATGAATTGTAAACTTTTCTGTTAGAAGAGACATGTAAAAATTCATATCATCATTTTTTAACATTTTGGCATTTTCTCTGAACATCATTACCATATCTATCCAATTCATCTATCTATTTATTACGTAAATTTGAAGATGTTTTTGTAAAATTTTCTTGAGAAATACTGGTCTGTGATAGTGTATGTGTGTGACCTGGCACGTCGTGATTGGACAGACTTGGCATGTCCGGATTGTTTGTGCTATTCTGATTACTTTCAATAGAGTCTTCAATTTCAAATTGTATTTCTTATCAAGAAATTTCATTTCGTCAAAGTAAATGTACACCTTTTTTTACAACCTCCTGATCCTGGGTAAGTGTTTTAAGACTATTTTCGTATTGTTGTACTATTTTCTCTGTAACAAAAAATGGAAATAAAATTAATAGGATAATAATACGTTTTCCTCGCAACCGGCAATTCCGACATAGATCTACATAAACACTATCGGCTTGGGGAATCAACCATTGGCAAAATCGTCCCAGAAGTGTGTACAAAAATTTGGAATGTTCTTAACGACGAAACCTAAAATTACCTTCGTTACTTGAATATTGGTTGAGAATCGCCAAGGGTTTTGAATTGCAATCAAATTTTCCAAATTGTATTGAAGCGCTAGACGACGTGCACGTTCGAATTATTTACCCTGCAAACAGTGGGAGTTTATTCAGTAATTATAAAAAATATTATTTAATAGCTATGTTGGCTATGTGCGCCAATTGTTGCTTTAAGTGGGTGCTTGTGGAAAAGATTCTAACTCAACAATTTTTGAGGACAGTAATTTGTTTGCAAAATTGCAAAGTGGTGAAATAAATCTGCCGGAGCCGAGACCAGTAAGTAGCAGCCGCATATCGTTCCCTTACATTATTGTAGGTGATGCTGCGTTTGGAATATCACGTCACGTTTTAAGACCATACGCTCGTAGCAATATGACACAAAAAATGTATTCAACTACCGTCTTAGTACAGCGAGACGTTACATAGAATCTACTTTCGGTATTTACGTCTAATAAATTCGAAATATCAAAATAGTCAAAGCTTGTTGTGTATAACATAACTTTATAAGACTACATGACGGATATGATGTTATTGATACTATGTAAATTGTTGGTTTAAAAAATGTTTCTCTAACTAGCAATAATACCATAAATCCGTCAGGCGATACTATAAGAGACATAATGGCTAACTACTTTATTTCACCGGAAGGTTCTTTGCCATGGCAAAATCAATACATTCAATAAGAAATAACGTCTAAACTGTGTCAATCCAATATCAAAAAATGGATAAACAAAAACAATATCTTTTTTTGGCAATAGAATTCTTTTTTCAGCAAGTAATAATGTGACTATTAAGGTGATTATAAGCTATAGATTATTTATGTTTAACAAATAAATAACCCTACTTTTCTTTTTAGATTTATCAATAAAATGTTATTTCTATCTATGTACTGGAAAAGAGGCATTTCATCTTAGTAGTTACTCACGGGTGACAATGCATCTGCATTTTGATTCTTTATTGGGGATAGATGTAGATGTCTATGGGTCACAGCAACCACTTACCAACAGTTGGACTGTGTGCTCGTTTGTCACCACATCCTATAAAAAAATACTTGTGAATATGTTTATAATACGTTTGTTCAGTGTTAAACCGGGTAATAAGTAAATACCTATGCTCAGATTATGTAAAATTAAATTAATATTTTTAATTAATAAAATATTTATGATTATTAACATTGTATTTTACTTACCGGTCTTTGATTTTTTACTATCGTCATTATTCTAGTCGGGGAAAAAACACCTCAAAAACTTCTACCCAATATTTTGCTCTAGCATAACGATCTTTGTACAAATTATTAGATAAATCCCATAATACAGGACGTTGGCGCACTTCAGCAATAACACGTACCATGTCGATATACATTGTAATCGAATTCCTTGCAACTGTACGAGCACGCGTGGATCGTCAGTAACAGAGTGAGGGCGCTCGCAATATTCCACGCTCGTCAGTCGACCGATTTACGCGGTGGTGACGAGCGAGGCCGACGCGCGCGCTACGCGGCGCGTAGCAACCGACGCGCCGCTGTTGTGAGCGTCGTAGTGTCGTCAGCGTAAGAAGAATTCAGGCCTAAGTAAAAGATGCAAGGTCATACGGACACGCGCGCAGCAATAAGGTTTTATTTAGCTTGCGTGTGTGATTTCCCTAATTAATTTATGAAGGCTTTTAAAACGTCGGCAAGCAGTGAACATCAAAAGACAACTTCTGTACGTAGTAGTGCTACTAATTTATTTTGTAGTCAAATCGATCTTTATTTTTATAAATTAATTTAAAATTCTGGTACTAGTCGGTGGAATATTTTTAATACCTACGAGGGGAGATAAAAAGTTCGTGGAATGACGAGGTTTGCGAGGGTGAGTTTATTCATCCAGCTAGGCGCTAGTTAAGTTACTCATTGTTAGTATGTATATATATATATATATATATATATATATATATATATATATATATATATATATATACCAAGTTTCAGTCTAATCGGGTCATTAGCTTATGAGTTATTAAACGAATAAACAAGTTAATCGAGAAGAAACTAACCACTGGAGAATATTGAATATCATGCCGTCATTAAGTTTTTCACCAAACAAGGAAAGACACCTCAAACCATTTTTCAAGAGATGTCAGCTGTTTATGGGGATTCCTCTCCTGGGATAACCCCCCCGACCTGGACAGCCGATTTCAGCTACCACGTCAGAAATAATCGAAAAAGTTGAAAAACTTGTATTGGAAGATGTCCGGATAAAGAAAAAACAATTTGCAGCATTAGTTGGAGCATCAGAAACAACCATTTTAAACATCTTACATCAACACCTTGGCATGACTGAAGTCTGTGTAAGATGGGTTCCGAGAATGCTTTCTACGCATCATTCCGATCCGACCGATCGGCGTCGAATGTTGCCGCGAGGTTTTGGACCGCTGTGGAGAACAAAGGGAGGACGTTATGGCCCGAATCTTTATAGGCGATGAAACTTGGGTTCACCGTTATGGACCTGAGTCAAAGCAAGTGTCGATGCAGTGGCATAAAGAGGCACATTCTCTCTTAAGAAGTATGTGTCTCAATAGGCCCGAAAGCTCATGGCGACGATCTTTTGGGATGCAGAAGGTATCCTTTTGATTGATTATAAGGAACGTGGTGTTTCCATCAAGGGAGAATACTACGCTTCTTTACTAGATCAATTAAAAGACGCTATTAAAAAAAGGCGAGGGAACTTTATAAAAGGCGTGTTCCTTTTGCACGACAATGCGCCCGTGCACACAAGCCATGTTGCGACGGCTGCCATTCACCGGTGTGGTTTTGAACAACTGCGCCACCTACCCTACAGCCCAGACCTGACCCCAACAATTATTATTTGTTTCCAATAATAAAGAAAGAACTGCGTGGGAAAAAATTTGGCGACGATGACGAAGTAAAGTTGGCAATTTCGGGCTATTTCGACGCCCGGGCAAATCTTTTTTGGACGGTATTAATACTTTATTTGACAGATCTAATAAATGTATTAGGGTTAAGGGAAAATACATTAAAAAGAAAAAATAGTTTAATGTTTCATTTCATTATCCTTCCCTGTCATTCCACGAACGCTTTGACCTCCCCTTGTATATATTGTTGCACGCCATAATTAATACCTGCTACCTGGCACTAGCGCCATCTAGTATCGAGTAGCAGAACTAATCTTTCTAGAAAATTCTATACTAGAACTTTCTACACCGAGTCGGTCGGGACTGGTATGTACTCGAATATTCTAGCTTTTTCAGTGGAAGAGCTCCTATATAAGGCCGTTTGGGGACCGCGACCGAGTCGGTATTGAATTGGCAATCGAAGCGAATACTTCGAAGCGATATGACTGCGAACTGTGTATTATTATCTGTGTTTTAAGTTGTAATTGGTGTTCGGTAATTAAAGTGTTAGTTTTGGTAATTCAATCGGCAGTTTTTATTGTCACGAACCCCAAGCTCGTAACAATATGTTATATTTTATTTGGGAAAGCTGCATTAATGATAATGATGACGATGATGACTACCCGGACAGTGATGCAGAGATGAGCGAAATTGAAATGCTAGATTCAGATTAATACTTTTACGTTTTTTTAGTAAATAAATATCTCTATTTTGTTCACCGTATTGAACTGGTTTGAATTGACAGCTATGACGTCACAATATGGCGCCATGTCAAAGATTTTAGCGCTGGGGACCTGTTCTAATCTGAATCGCAATGTGTCAAATTCCACCTCAAATCTTGTTGTAAACAATTATTAAGGAGCAGCTATATACCGGAAAAACGTGTCAACGTATATTTGTGCAATGTATATAAAAAAAAGCGCGTTGTTGGTGCAGGTGCGAGGCATGCTGCAGGACATCGCGACGCTGGACACGGCGTGCCACACCGCCTCCCACCGCTTGTGGTCGCTGCGGGCCGCTGCACACGCGCCGCGCGCCGAGCAGCAGCTGCTCGAGGGACACATCAACGAGATACAGAAGGAGAAAGAGATCCTCACCACCAACCTGCCCCCGCGCATAAGGTACGTGCTACACCGCCTCCCGCCGCCTGTGGTCGCTGCGGGCCGCTGCACACGCGCCGCACGCCGAGCAGCAGTTGCTCGAGGGACATCAACGAGATACAGAAGGAGAAAGAGATCCTCACCACCAACCTGCCCACGCTCATACGGTACGTGCTACACCGCCTCCCGCCGCCTGTGGTCGCTGCGGGCCGCTGCACACGCTCCGCACGCCGAGCAGCAGTTGCTCGAGGGACATCAACGAGATACAGAAGGAGAAAGAGATCCTCACCACCAACCTGCCCACGCTCATACGGTACGTGCTACACCGCCTCCCGCCGCCTGTGGTCGCTGCGGGCCGCTGCACACGCTCCGCACGCCGAGCAGCAGTTGCTCGAGGGACATCAACGAGATACAGAAGGAGAAAGAGATCCTCACCACCAACCTGCCCACGCTCATACGGTACGTGCTACACCGCCTCCCGCCGCCTGTGGTCGCTGCGGGCCGCTGCACACGCTCCGCACGCCGAGCAGCAGTTGCTCGAGGGACATCAACGAGATACAGAAGGAGAAAGAGATCCTCACCACCAACCTGCCCACGCTCATACGGTACGTGCCACACCGCCTCCCACCGCCTGTGGTCGCTGCGGGCCGCTGCACACGCGCCGCGCGCCGAGCAGCAGCTGCTCGAGGGACACATCCACGAGATACAGAAGGAGAAGGAGATCCTCACCACCAACCTGCCTACGCTCATACGGTACGTGCCACACCGCCTCCCCCCGCCTGTGGTCGCTGCGGGCCGCTGCACACGCGCCGCGTGCCGAGCAGCAGCTGCTCGAGGGACACATCAACGAGATACAGAAGGAGAAGGAGATCCTCACCACCAACCTGCCTACGCTCATACGGTACGTGCCACACCGCCTCCCACCGCCTGTGGTCGCTGCGGGCCGCTGCACACGCGCCGCGTGCCGAGCAGCAGCTGCTCGAGGGACACATCACCGAGATACAGAAGGAGAAGGAGATCCTCACCACCAACCTTCCCACGCTCATACGGTACGTGTCACACCGCCTGTGGTCACTGCAGGCCGTTGCACACGCGCCGCGCGCCGAGCAGCAGCTGCTGGAGGAACATATCAGCGAGATACAGGAGAAGAAGATCCTCACCACCAACCTGCCCACGCTCATATAGTATGTCCATAGATTTTCAAGTGGTCTTTCACTACACCTACCGAATAAGGTGATATTGACGTTATTATGGCTTTTCAATTATTAAATCGTTTAACGCTTTCATCGTGATGATAAAATTATTTCAATATTGTTCACAGTGATTTCTATTTTTTTAATAGTATTAGGGGCAAATTCGCATGCGGTTTACCTAATGGCAAGCACTTACCTCCCCCCATGAACAGCTACAATACCAGGGTAATTGCAGGTGTATTGCCGGCCTTTTATAAAGAAGTAAGCTCTTGTCTTGAAGGTCTCTAAGTCGTGTCGGTCTGGAAAAATCGCCGACGGTAAACGATTCCCGATATAATTAAAAGATTATTTGACTATAATATATTATTTTTATTATTTCAACATTTCGCAGAGCAACATCCGACGACGATTTGTTGTCGACAACGGACCACGACGGCGAATTTGGCAGCACCGACGACTTGAGCACTGGTTCAGCGTCGCTCCGTTCACAGCGGCTTCTGCATCGCCAACTTTCCTCAGACGACCCCATCATGGTGTAGCGCCGTACATTCCGGTGCGACATCCGGCGTCATGAGTAACGATCGAGGTGAGGTGCTACAGATTTAGCACCTTATGATGGTAGAACCCAACTACGATGTTGGGCAGCTGTCGTTCGTTTGTCGTTAGTCTGATTCTACTGGGGAGTACCAAGTAGTATGAGCTCTTTACCTAAACGCCAAACTTTAAATTTTCTTATTTAAATTGGTAGACAAAATGTACTCTGACTATGATCATACACTACTATATTATAAAGCTGTAGCAATAAATTCTACGTATTATCTAATTCAGACAGCGGTTTATGTACGTTATTTTTACAAAACAATTTTAAGGCTTAATGTTAGTGCCAATCACATGTTATGAGCTTGCCTGTTTGAAAGTACACATTCGAGATATGTGCCACGTAAAACGAATTAGGAATGTTTTGCAGTATCATTAAGTTATAAGTACATACTTTAAAAAAATTAATATATGATGTTTTTAATAAATTATTAACCACATCATATGTTTAAAAGGATTTTTGAAACAAAAAAGATACATTAGATAGTTACATGTTGCAGAAGCTCATCTCAAACTTTTAACTCTTTTTATAATATAAAGGGGCTGTGTAACAACTTTTGCAGATTGGTTTGCTTTCTTAAAATATTCAAATATATTATGAATAAGTTTTGCTCAATTATTATAGACTGAAATTTATTTATCATTATTTCATCACCATATTACTTTAATTGCCCTTTAAAAGGTATCATTTTAAATAATTATTTTTCCGCAGGGTTTTTCATATCAGAATTTATTCTTATTTGTCGTCACCCCGTAAAATCCACCGCTGAAGCTGAATATGGGCATCTACCGTTGCAGGTAAGATTTGCCATAATCGCGTGGCCGCTTGGCAGATGGACTAGAGAGAGGTCGCAGGCCGCTCCCCGTCTCTACTCTTGATTGTGTGTTAGTGTTGAGTGAATGGTATAGTTATGGCCCCATCTATCAAAGCATAAAATTTTTCTGGCATTTCCCATAGCCGCGCCATACAATACCTGCGGTGAAAAATGAGGTGATGAATTCTTTTACGGTATTAGAACTTAAGCACTAAAATTCTTCAGTTTATCATAAACCTATATTATGCATATGCTTTTTCATTGTGATATTGTTATAAATTCAGCCTTTTAAAAGCGTACCGCGATATAAGCGCGGCTCTAATTTTTCTTTTAGTTCTCAGTCATTAATATTTTCAACAGATTTTCCAGTAACAGTTGTTACACTACTTCTTACGATTGTATAGACGGATTTATTCAGACTGATTAGTTCTTGATAACATTTTACTATGTGACATTTACAATTACACTTAAAACCAGTTATTCTCGTTTATATCTTGCCTTATTTTATTTGCTCTTATTTAACTATAATTGATATCCGAGGGAAACGAGACAGGTTCTGCAAAAAAGAATTATTATTCAACGTGAATTTTACGTGTTTATTGTATTGTAGATTTGTAATGAGCTTATTGTGTACCAAGTGTGACTTTTATCCCAGGTACTAGATTACCCTAAAACAAATATGAGATTATTCTTCCTATTGTAATATATTGTGTCTCACACATATTTTAGAACGTTTTATATTTATTGTAAATTTGTTATTTGAATTGTAATGTGATCGTTAATTAAGCCATACATATTGTTCATTTTAGCATTGTTGATAGTATTGAAATTAAAAATATTCTCCTATAATTTGTTTTGCACTTGTTTTCTTAAAAGCAACATTTAATAAAGTTATTGAATATCACTTCAAATTGACGAATTTAATACAATTCCACTATAAACATCGATTAAGTAACTAATAACGCTATACTTGTGCGTTGAGTAACAATTTTTAATTGTACAAAATATCTGCATATACAATAAAACAAATTTCATTTTATTCAACCCATGTTCTCATAACTCCAAGTCTTATGTTTCTGTCAGAACAATTCTATACCATATACCTATTATTTCCATGTTAAATTTTCAAAAAAAAAATAGTTATTTATTCCACATAGATCAATAAAAATGTCATAAAAGATATTTTATAATTATTGATTAAATCTATATTGCAATTTTAATAATTCCGTTTTGCGATTTATATTTGAATTGTTAAATTCCTAGGTTTCACAATATCTTTGATATTACGCAATATTAAGAACTTACGGGATTGAATTTTAATTTATTTGGATTGTTATACAGTACACAGATGATCTTTTGTAAATGTAGGCTAATTGTCAATCTTCATTAATATCTCATAATCGATATTAACAATCTTGAATGAAATGATTCACCAGCAGTACCTTGCTTTTGTTTGCTATTATTATCTAAAAAGACTGTCTATTGATAAGCTATTGAATGTATTGTTAAGTCACAAATACTATATCTATCTGCTTTTAAATAATGTTTATATATGTATAGGTACTTACTTAGTATTCCAAACAACGAAATATTCTGTGAAAAAAAAAACTTATAATTGAATTAATTTCATCTTTTAAATTGTTTATCTATAATTTTATTGTTAATTATCGTTCTAATTTTCACAATAGAATCTCGCTTGAGGAGCTGTGGCTAGGATGGAAGCAACATCATCATTCATGACAATCAAAACATTGTAGTGCTATAAAAATAAATAAAGTAAAAGTAAGCTTTGCTATGTAATGAACAAAATTGCTATGTGTATATAATATGTTTGTTAACTTCTTTTATTATGGTTGTGTGACAGTAATTGATCTACTGTATTTTCTGTGCCTTCAACTAGTTTGCTTTCAGCAGTCCAAGTCTAGGAAAGTTAGTAATTGCTGTTATTTACATAATGTTAGATCTTCGTATTAATTATTGTTATTCAATCGTAAGGGACGTTTGATATTTTGTGGCGGTGTATATTACGAAAGTATATTGAAAACATAGTATCCTCTCTAGCAACATACTCATGTTGGCGTTTAAGGTCTGTAAAATTTAAATAAATGTGCAATGTGCTTTGTTAAGAAGTTTCGAAACTAGATGTGCATTTAGATAAGTTTGAGTATCTTCCGGGGATTTTGTAAATACAAATAAATAAGAAGTTGATATGCTGCTAGTATCAAGTTATTTTTTAACAATTTAGTCATTGTACTATTTACTTATTTTAAATTAAAATAAAATCTTAAATTAATGGTGCAGAAGAAGTTTTTAATCCAGTTTGTATGTGTCTCGTTAGACTGTCGTCGTATTATCAAAAAAAAAACTAACCTGAATTAGAGAAATAAACTCCGTCATTAACTAATTTTCATACTAAGATTCTACATTTTATGGTTATGAGAATGATAACTAGCCTGAACAGAGTATTTTTGTTAGCAAAGAAATCTTATTTTTAACAAAACATATTTATTCAATGTGATGATTTTTTGTAGATACAATAAATTTAAAAAAAAATTAAATATAAGAATAAATTTCACATTTTAAGGACCAATGCAATGCCGTATTCTCTTAATTACTGTTTGAAATTATTTTTAAAGTTTTCTGTATGTGTCGATTATAGCCTATATTATGTATAGAATTAGTCATGTAACATGATGTATATTGTTTTAATTTTAAGGCTCTATGATGTCAATACAATGAAATGTAACCAAACCATTAAACTGTATACAAATAAAGAAATAAACAATTGCTGTAGTAATAACTTTTATTAATTCAATTAATCTCCATGTCCATAAATTGTTTATCGTTGGTGTTTACTTCAATCTGTTCAGATTCAGTGCCATTTTCCCATGGCAATTTTCCAATTGGGCATGACGACCAATCATGTTGTTTAGCAACAATTCGCCATATACCATGCCTCATTTGGTTTGTGGATGTGGTTACTTCACTTCCTGATAAGTTACTTAAAACATTTACTTCTTGATTATCTGATGCTTTTGTATTTGCCTCTGTGTCAATAACGAAAGAATCCTCTGTAGCTGCTTTTAAATCATCAACGGTAAAGATTTTAAATGGTGTTGAATTAGCAGCAAGTTTGGAAGGAGAAGATATCAACTTGGCCAGTTTACATATTTTTTCTGTTATTAATGATGGTAACTGTGGTTCAATTAGATTCAGAATATCCTTTACGAAATAAGTAAGATATTCATTATATGATGTAATAATTGGCTGCATAAAATTTATATCAGTTAAATCTTTAGGTACTGGTTTATACAAATCCAATAAAAGGCTACAACCTTTTTCGTTAGGAAACCAGTGATAAAAAAGGGTTTTAAGATCTTTTCTTTTCATAGAGTCTGTACCATTCTTTTTCCTAGAACAAAAAAAATATTAACACAAATAGGTAGTACCAGTAAAACAGTGAACTAGATGTAGTTGGAGAGCCTGACTGGCAATTGAAAGATTTAAGGGTACACTAGTCGCTCATTTTTCCATACAAACGTAGTCTGGCAATTACTCCATCGTTTTATGGTGTACGTTCAAAATAAAAAATTATTTCAATTTGTCTCATCCTTATCTAGCACTGTATGGAAACAAAAAGTAAAAAGAATATATTTACAAGTACTAATTATATCTTTGGGCGGGAAAAAATACCATAACCTTTTACAACCGACTCATAGTCAAGCGTGCATTTAACTTTGAAAAAATCTAGCGCTTCCCATAACTTATTTTACCGAACGCAACAGACATCGCTCGCTCGTGCATGATATAGTCCTTAATAAAAAACATAATAATACAAGTTATGACTCGTCACTGCGCCACAGTACCTCGTTGGAAATGGCAGCGTATTTTGGCGGGCGAGGCGCTTCAAGTAAGTATAATTATTTTCTCGTGTTTTAATGGAATATTATTATTAAACTATTTAATTCTATTAGTAATAAACCAACTCATAACATTATTACGTATTTTTGTAATTATGTTCATTATTAATTCATTTCTTCTGCATCAAATTTAAAGATGCACGTTCGTGCGTTTTAGGTGTTACTTATACTATTTTAATATAATTACAGTGTTATTTCATTTCGTTG